CAGGACGGGCCATGGGGTCGCCTCCGCTCCCAGCCTGGGGGTGGGGGGGTGCCAGGCAAAACCAAGCAATCTTGAAGTATCCTTTCAGGGAAGAGAAGTAGGGGAGGGCTTCAGTGTGCTGGAAGCCTTGGCTCCTCACCACCACCTTCTAAATGACGAGGATTGGCTGCCCTCAGGGCCACCACATGGGCCAACCTCTCTCCTCGCTCCACCTTAGGGGCTCAGCTGCCTTCTCTACCTGTCCCCTGTCACCAGAGAAACGTGAGAAATTCATTCTCACCAGGTGCCAGAAACTGATGGCAGTGTCCAGGGGTGCCCCTTCCAGATGGCTTTGCATCTTGACAGGCCCTGACCCAAGACCAGGCTGCTTAAGGAATGCATCCTGGGTTGGAAGGCCACTGTTCCGGGGTTTGCAGTGGGGGCCGTGCCAGAAGCTTTGACAGCACTGCCTGTGAAACGGCTTTGCAAGGGCAGTGGAATTATCCTTTCTACAGATGAGCAGACTGAGGCTCAGAGTTGTCAGGCGTTCCAGCCCAGCTCTGCCTGCTTCCAGGCTCGACCCTGCCCCCAGGACCCAGGGCCTCCGAAACCCGGACCCAGGGCAGGACCTCTTCAGTCATCCTTTGCTTCGTCATCACTTGCTCACTGAACATTTGCTACACTACCCTGGTGGCTTGGAGTGAATGACACATGCACGCAGGGCCAACCTCTCCAAGGGGGTAGCATTCAAACTGAGGCCTGGAGGGTGAGGAAGAGGTGAGTTTGGAGAGACATGGACCAGGGAAGGTCCACGTCTCCACCCAGAACTTTCAGGCTGAGGGAAGAGCACCTGCAAAGGCCTTTCCTAGGATAGGAGAGACTCACGTATCTGAGCAACAAAAGGCCACTGTGGCTGCAGAAGGTGAGCAAGGGGAGAGGAGGAAGAGGTGAGGTTGGAAACACATGGACCAGGGAGGGCCTCGAAGGGCATGAGGCTGTCATCCCCTTGCCTGCAAGGCCCTACCCACCCGCACTATTCTCATGAAGGTGGCAGGTGAGGAGGAATGAGGTAGTCCCAGAACAATTCAAGATGGAATTACAGTAAGAGTTCATTTTAATCGAGCACTTGCTATGCACCAAGTGCTGCTCTCAGTGGTGTACCTGAATGTACTCTTTTACTTCTGACGCTCAGGCACAGAGAGGTTAAGTAACTTGCCTGAAGCTGCACAGTTAGGAAGTACTTGAAGCAGGAATCAGACCCAAATGGTCCGGCTCCAGAGCCCACACCCTACCACTGCACCACCAGCAGGGCCTGCACGGAAGAGTCCCTGGCCACCAGGCAGTGGCTGTTGAGATGGCGGAGACTGGAGCTGAGGGCTTCTCTCTGGAAATGGCCCTCTTGGGGCAGCTCTCTGTCTGTAATCAATCAGGATCCTGGGTGTAGGCAAAAGACAAGCAGAAGAGGAAACCAGTACTCTTGAGAATATTGAAGAGACAGGCAAGAGGTAGCAAAGAGTCTCCACCCACCACTTCTACCCTAGAACACACTGAGACCAAGGTACACAGCCCAGCCCACAGGCATGTGGGCCCGAAAGCAGGCAGCTGTCAGTACAGCTAGTGCCGGGGCACCTGCCATGTTTGTTGTTCTAGGTTTGACTGTGAAACACGGTGACAGCTATTTAATGTTAGCACGTTCCAAACGTGTATGACTTGGCTCTGAAAAGTTTTGTTAACCCTCCTACCAGCACCAACAACAAATGAGCCAGCAAATGCTTAGTGAGTTACTACCCTGAACAAAGCTTTGTATACTCTCCTGCAACTGGTATTGGCAAATCACACAAACGACTGGGCTTTGTTAGAGCTCAGTGGAAGCCTCGGCCTCGCCCCAGTCTTACGCACACCGGCCTTGCAACACATGTTTCAGTAGCGGAAAGATGGGGTGGTCATGTCCTACCGGACGCTGCATGTGTGGCCAAAGAGATCATTATGGGGTATCTGGCCACGGGCTCCCAGGCTGGAGTTTTAGCTCTTGTAAATGTCAAGTTTAAATGGTAGATAATGACTTAAAGGCACTTGTTCTGCATATGCTCACTTGAATTGCATTAAGTTTTTAACATGGATTGGTTAGCAGGTTTCTGGAACAGGAAAGAATTCAAAGCCAGCCCAGCTCTGGAGAAGGCTCCAGCATAGGCTCCAGAGCCCTCCCACCCCCTGCACCTACACAGCCTTGTCCCCACACCCCAAATAATTCTACTCCAGACCCAACATAACCTGAGGGGAAGCAGAAGGGCAGAGGCCACACCATGCCACACTGTTCTGGGGGGGCCCTTGACACTACTTCTCACACATAATCCTCATACCCACTCTGTGAGGTAAGCATGTTCATCTCTGTTTCCAAGAGAAAAATAACAAAGCCTTAGGCAAGGAAAGTCACTTGCCCAGGCCACATGGCCGGTCAGCATCTGAGGGGGACTCTACCCAGGCCTGCCTCCCCAGCCCACAAAGCTGTCCCCAGGACCACACTTTTCTCCAGAAGTGTCTGCATGGAAACCCTGTTACTAAAGAACACTCGGGCACCACTTCATACCTTTAAAGCCTTAACCAGATAATAGCATGTTCTTGCTATGGAGTTTATTTCTTTGTAGGGCTCACAAAACACTGTGGAAATGAGCTAATTACTCCTCACAACATTTATTTCTCCACTAAGAGAAGGGGCCAGGCCACACTGCTATTCCCACTTCACTGACAGGAGCTGGAGGCAGAGTAAGGCAGCGACACCTCCTCTCAGGTCAGCTGGAGAATGAAGACCAGACTTTCCCGGCTCCCGACTCCTGGATGGGGCTGTTGAGGCTGCCAGCCAGCACTGTAGCGAACCTCCCAGCTTGCCAGTAGGCACGAGAGAGAACATGTTTGAATGTTCCTCGGTGTTTGTGATGCACCATTCACCCTGTGGTTATCAGGGGGAAAGCCCTCTCTGGGGAATGCCAGCCCAAGAACAGAGCACCAAATCCAAACTAACTCCTGGAGCCCCGACCGCTGGCCTCACTTCTCCCCATTGTCACTTGCCTTGTACATTAGTTGCTCCAGGCTGGGTGATAAGTAAAGTAAACGTTTTCCCCCTGGATAATTGTAGCTTTAAAAGTATCTAAATATTCACTCCCTGTTACTATATCCCGCCTTTGTCGTAAACAAATACTATAACCTTCCACTGTTATGTTATCATAAATCCTTCTCTAACACTTGGAGATTTTTTCCGCTTCAACAATGTCATATTAGCCATTAAAATATGCACTTGACTCTAGTCCAGTCAGTCTCTCCACCACCAAGCTAGCCATTTTTTTAAAAAAGCTTCGTATACTGTTTTAATCAATCTCTCTCGCTAAGTCTGCTAAAATGTGTTTTTAAAAACCTCTAAGTCAGTTTCACCTAAAGATTTCTTAGCCACATACAGAATTCCCACCAACGACTCTGCAACACAACAGATTTTGTGTACACAACCTCGTATTTCCACTAAAGGAAGTGATGTGGGCACTGTACCAGCCTCCAGGATAATGGATACACCAGCCAGTGATGTTATACACATGACTTTTATTATTTTTTAGTTAGTTTTAGAAAATTATGGAAACTACCACTTGTGGCAGGTTTGCAATTGCACATTTACGTACATTGGCCTCCAGAAACCCCACAAGGTAGATCCTTGACATGTGTCCCCCATTCAACTTTCCTTGTATGGAAAGGAGGCCTGGAGAGGGGGAGCAATTGGCTGGGGGTATCACGTCAGAAAGTGACTGAAATCCAATGCGTGTGGCAGTAAACTTGAGTTTTGGAGTCAGATGCCATCACCCCGCCCCACCCCACCACCTTTTCAGGCCTGGGCAGAAACCCAATTTCTTGTTCCTTCTCAGCTCCCGGCAAAATTCTAATGGCCGCAGTCCGACAACTCTCAGCTAGCTGGGTGTCGCTGTCACGCCCCTGCCGGGTGAACCCCGGCCGGCTGCGTCCTGCCATTCCCAACTCCCTAGCGTTTGGTAGGATACCGGACAAACAGGCCAAAGACCCTGCCCTCTGGGAGTTTGGGCAGGCAGAGTCTTGTATGGTTCAGGTTCAAAGCAGAGTATAGTTTGTTCTATGGAGAGGGACAAGTTTCTGGGCGCTGTTTAGGAGCAGCTTCCTATAATGTCTCCGCATTTGTGTACTCCTCAAATTTGACGTTTTTATGTTTTCCAATGAACTCCCAGGAAGTGTTTATATTGTAAGAGAGAAGGTGGTTCTCCCACGAAATGTGTAATCGGTACCCCATGTTAAGGAGTTTGGTTTTCTGGGGGGGGGGGGGGGGGGGGGTTGTCCCTAGGAAAAGGATGGAATGGTCCTAAAGAACCGAATTTCAGAGCTGTTTAGGACTTTAGAGATTATCTAGCCCAATCCTTTAATTTTATAAACGAGGAAATAGGCTCCAGGGAAGCAACTGGACTTTCCCAAGGTCACAGCTAGTCATTTGGAGGACAAAAAGTGTGTACCCCGGTCCTGGCTTGGGGCTGGGCCCTTTCCCTCCCCTCCACCTTACACACCCCGCCCCGCCCCGGCCTCTAGAATGCTTCTCTCCACGCTAGTGTTTATCTGGCCACCACGCCCGCACTAGAAACTCGGGATTAGTGAGGAACCTGACACCCCCTTCAGCACCGCCAAGCCTGCTCCTGTTCGGGCCATCCCTACGGGAAGAGCAGGTCGTCGTCTGCCGCCCTGCCCTCAGGCAACCTCTGAGGAGGGGGGAGTGCAGGCTCGACTCAGTGTCCCGGGACCACAACCCAGGGCAGAGTCCTGGGTACAAAAGGGCCCGCCCCTTCTTCCTCCCCTCCCTTCCTCCCCGCCCCGCCGCAAGTCCGCACGTGCTGAGCCTCGTGCACCGACCCGGGCCCCGCCCCCGCCCTCTATTGGCTGCTCCTTGCCTTCCTCCTCTTCTCCCCCCTCCCCGCGCGAATAGACTCGGCTGGGGCTCCATGTGACCTGCGGAGGGTGGGCCCTGCATCCCGAATGGGCTCTCTGATAGGCTCTCCCGGCGGCTCCCAGCGCACCTCCCTTCATTGGCCTGTCCCGAAGGTGGAGAGATTGGGATGAGACGGAAAGGAGAGCGGTCGCGGTGGTCTGGGATGAGAGCGGGGGTTATGAAGAGGAAGGCGAAGGTGAAATCTCTGGTAGCAGGGAAGGAGCTACCGCAGAAGAGGGCGTATGACACAGACTCCAGCAGGCACCAATCAGGTGACTCGGGTGGGTGGGGCGGGGCCTCCGGCATTGCTCCTCACCTGGCCCTGCACGTGTCTCACTTATCACTGCAGCCTAACCAATCACGGGCCGGAAGGCCGCTCCTGCCTTTCTCTCAGGGTGGGCCAATCCAAGGCCGCGGTCTGGGAAAGCTGTCCTGGCCTCATGAATAATTAATGTTACCGAGCAGGTCCGCAGGCGGGGTAGGGATGGAGGGAGGCGGGGGAGCTGTTGGGCGCTTGCGCAGTAGCTACCAGTATCGGCAGCTGCGGCGGGTCGCACCGCTCCGGCCCTTCTGGGGGGCGGGCGGGGCAGGCGAGGCGCGAGAGCAGAGCGTGAGGGGGGGGCGCGATGTCCGACACAGGCGGTGGAAAGAAGCCGCCTGTGGAGCCGCAGGCGGGGCCAGGCCCGGGGCCTGGGCGCGCAGCTGGGGAAAGGGGTCTGCCAGGGTCTTTCCCACTGGTCCTGAAGAAGCTGATGGAGAACCCCCCGCGGGAGGCGCGCCTCGGTGAGGAACCGGGGGTCCGCGCGCTCTAGGGGGCGGGGTTTGCAGGGGCGTGGCCTTCTGAGGGCGGGGCTGGGAAGGTCGGAGGTCTCGGTGATGTGGTCCCTCGGAAGGGGGATTAGACTCGAGATGACAAAAGGCCTGGTTGGCGAGGCAAGAAGGTTGGGGGAAGGTCAGGGGCCAGTTGAGAGAGGTTGGGTCAGATGGTCGTTGGCGGGGAAGGGTTTGGAGGGAGAGGATGGGGTGGGGTCGCGGTGAGGAGGTTTCACGGGGCCGCCCGAGCGCGCGCGTGCTGTGCGGGTTATGAGGTGTGGGGGTTAAGTCGTACAGCCGCTTAAATGACGCTCCTGGGAGCCTTCTCCCGGGACAGCGTCATCCGAATCAAATCACTTGGGTTGCTTGTTTTGAATGCTGGTTCCTGGGCCCCACCCTTCACCTACCGAATCTGCAGCTTGTGGGACAGGAGTCTGCATTTTAAGGAGCACCCCATCTCTGATTCCGTAGTCCACTAAAGTTTGAGAAGCGCTGATTTACATGGTAGATTGTCTTTGATGTTGGCCTTGCCTCCTCCTGGGAGGAGGACCTTGTCTTCATACCACTAGGTACACACTGGAGATTTTTTGGAAGTGTGTCTCGGTTGCTGCTGAGCTGGGGGAGGGGGTGTCAGAAGAGATGGAGAGTGGGGCAAGGCAGGTAGAGGGATGAAGATCAGAACAATGCCACTGAGGTCCTTCACCTGGTTTTGGGGGACTGACCCTAGACTTCGAGGGCCACAGTGGCAGAGCTGGCCTTCATCTTTGTTTCCTAGGCCACAAAGGTCCCAAGGGCCCATGTGGAAAGCAGGTTTGGCCTTGTTTTTTTGGCCCGGCAACATGAAGTTCAGAGAGCAGTAGAGTGCCACCTATTGTGGTTTTCAGTGCACGGAGATATGCTTTTAATCTGAGACCTTTGAATTTCCAAGAACCATTGGTGTAGTTCAGGGGTCTGGGATGGAATAGGCTTTCTGTGAATTACCTGTCTTGAGGAATTAACTTTCTTTTTAAAAATGCCATCTCTTTCCTGGGTGTGTTTTGAGGCTTCCATTTCTATGGCTTGTCATGGTTGGATTATAAATAGCCTCAGTATATCAGGTGAAGCCAGGCTTTCTCCTCTTGCTTCAGGACCTCTTGTGCTCAGACCCTTTTGTTTGTTTTTAAGGCGATGCTTTGTTCCAAATCTGGGGCTGAGACAAGCTGCTGGGACATCTGTGAGGTTCTTGTTCAAGATTGCCCAATAAAAGCTATCCATAACAATAATTTTCCTTTACATTAGCAGAGTTCTCACAAAGCACTTTGACAGAACCTTGTTTTATTTGGTCTTCCACAGCAGTCCTGTAGAGGGTGTTATCCCCACTTCACAGATGAAGAAAGTTGAGGCTCAGAGGGGAGGATGTTCCCTCAAGGTCACATTGTGAGGCCTTGTAACTCAGTCTGGTGCTCTACCATCTGGGAACTACTAATGTTAATCCCTGTGACCTGAGTGATGGACCTAGTTCTTTATTATCTCTTACAATTAAAATTCTACGGATATTAAAAATATCCGTAGTTAGCCCAGGCTGGTGTGTCTCAGTGGATTGAGTGCCAGTCTTCGGACCAAAAGACTGCCAGTTCAATTCCCAGTCTAGGGCACATGCCTGGGTTTCAGGCCAGCTCCCCAGTAGGGGGACATGAGAAAGGCAACCATACATTAATGTTTCTCTCCCTCTCTTTCTCCTTCCCATTCCCCTCTTAAAAAAATAAATATTTAAAAAAATACCCTTAACTGCTTAGGTCAAGCAAAACCTGAAACTAATTTTTATTTGTCCTTTAGTGTGGCTGTTTTTATGTCTCCTCCTCTCTCCTTTGATCCCCATGACCTCAACTAACATGGACACTGAACAGAATGTGGAGTCAAGATCTGGGCAGGGAGACTCCTGGCAGTGTTCTCAGTTGGTTAGAGTGTTGTCCTGTCCTGATATACCAAGGTTGCAGGTTCGACACCCAGTCAGGGCACATATAAGAATCAATGAATGAATGCATAAATAAGTGGAACAACAAATTGGTGTTTTTCATTCTCTCCCCCTTCTACCTTCTCTCTATAAAATCAATAAATAGAAATTAAAAGATCTGGGGGGGGGGAAGTGAGGCCATTTGGCCTATGCAGCCCACCAAAGCTTGGCTTTCTTAGTTCCCATTTGGCTTGCTTTCTTACTTCAACCAAAGCCTGGTACAGAAGGCAGGTGCAAGAATTCAGGCTAATTTGTATTAGAAGCCATGACCAAATTCTGTTTGTTAAAACCTCCACCTTCTTAACCTATTTCTGTTGGACCGACGGGCTTCTTTTTGGCTGGCTGTGGTGTGGGAGTCCATGCATGACTGGTTTATTTCCAACATAATCATATTTGATTTCTCTTTTCCACTTCAGAATCCAGAGTTCAAAGTTGTCTCCCTCGTTTTGAAAACCCATTATGAACTTGTCATGATTTTATCTCCTACTTCCCCAATTAGCCTCCCTGTCACTTTGATTTCCTTCAGCCTTGTTGCATTTCTCTCGTCTGTTTTTCCTAATTTGCCCTTTCTTCCATATCCATGTGTATAACTTTTAGATCGAGACAGTTAGGTGAGACCTAGTCCCTGCTAATTAGTTTTGCTTTGAATGGGAGCAAGATTTCTTCTTCAGCTCCACCCTCTCCTTCTTCCCTGAAAACCTGCCTTTCAGTCCTCTCTGCTTATTCAGGGATAGACTTCTCTGGAAATTATTGCTCTAAAAAAGGTCCTGAAAAGACAGCTCCATACCCTCTGTATCTAATAAATTTAAAGGGAATCTGTGTGCCAACCTAGTGCTCTTCATTCAGTATACACATTTTCCCATGGCCCACGGTCATCCTGCTCCCGTGTTGGTGCTGAGATCTAGCAATGAATGAGACACAGCCCCTGCCTTCTGTGAACTCACGGTAGTAATGAGTGCCTGCTATTTGCCCAGAACTCTGTAAGACACTTTCAGATGTTATCTTTAGTCTACACCAAAGAGGAAGCTTTATTCTCATTTACAGTGGATGACACTGAGTCTGGGAGAGGTGAGATAACATGGCTAAGGTCGCACATCATGGCAACTGGGTGGCAGAACTGGGATTCAAGCCCTAGGCCAGGTTGCTGTGGTGAAGCATAGCTGGAGGGGACAGGACAGGAGAATACAAAAGTTCTTGACCTGAGGAATCACCCCTTTCCTATCACAGGGAAATGATAGATCATCAGGAAAGCTCAGAAGTTCCATTTCCTCCCTGTAGCCTCTCTCCTCCAGATGCTAATTCCACAGCCCATTCTGAATTAACCACATTAAAGATTGTAGTGAGCATTCTGGGAAGCCCAGGCATGGATGAGGATGTGCTGCCATCTCTAAAGGAGACCAGTGGGCCTTGGTCAAGCACCAGGTTATAAATGGAGAACATAGTGAGCGCTTGAAATGCATGGGATAGGTCAGGACTTGGAGAGATGCGCTAGCCCTGTGAAGCTCAGTACTCCCCTCCTAGGATTGAACTATCCTCTTATGTGGCGTCTCATCACAGATTTTGTGTCTGCAGATAAGGAAAAGGGGAAGGAAAAGCTGGAGGAAGACGAGGCCTCAGCAGCCAGTACCATGGCGGTTTCAGCCTCCCTCATGCCACCCATCTGGGACAAAACCATCCCATATGATGGCGAGTCTTTCCACCTGGAGTACATGGACCTGGACGAGTTCCTGCTGGAGAATGGCATCCCCGCCAGCCCCACTCACCTGGCCCAGAACCTACTGCTGCCTGTGGCCGAGCTAGAGGGGAAGGAGTCGGCCAGCTCTTCCACAGCGTCCCCACCATCCTCTTCCACCGCCGTCTTTCAGCCCTCTGAAACCGTGTCCAGCACAGGTTGGTGACGGGCCTTAGGACAGGGCCACCTGTCTCATCCAAGGAAGTCCACTTTCCCCTGAAGGCTTAATGTCCACACACGCAGTGAGCCTCTTCTCTCAGGGGAGGTCCCGGTGGGCCTGCAGTGTGGAGAAACCCTCTGCTCTCCGCCCTCCAGCGTAGTCCCCGAGGCTGAAGACAGAAACAGCAGTCATGTCAGCAGTGCTGGAGTCTTTCTGTTGGCCGGCATGTGGCCGCTGCTCAGGACAGTGAAGCAAGACCTTCCAGTCTAAGGCTTTCCAGGATAGAAATCCCATTCTGCGTTTTCTCAGCATGACTCCATACCCTGCCACATGCACTTTGCCACAGATTATTGGGAAGCTCAGGCGATGACAATAATAGCGCCCGCTAACATTTACTTAGCACTTACTCTGTGCTAGGCATTAACATGTAATCCTCACAGAAGAATTCTATCAGATCAATACTCTTATGTGTGTTAGAGGTGAGGAAACAGAAGTTGAGTAACTTACCCAAGGTCACTCAGCTCGTAGGTAGTGGGGACAGCACTTGAGCCCAGGCTGTCTGACCCCATAGCCAGGTCCCACCTAGGCACTGGCACAAAGAAGGGACCTTGGGGACTCCTCCATCCTCTTGTCCTTTTTCTGTTTTACCCCTGAGGGGTCATTTGGTTATTTGGTTGGTCTTCATGCCCTTTGGTCACGAACCCTTGGGAGGGGGCATGGTCACTGTTTCAGGGGTCTCTGCAAACCTTTCTGCAGGCACGGTTAGAGGCGCACAGGCTGATGACTCCTGGAGGCCCCCCCGGGAACCCACACCCGGAGAATTACCGTGCTCTGTTTTTTTAATTTTACTTTTCATTATGGACAAATTTTCGAATACAGAAGATAAACTACTATCATGAACCTCCATGCAACCATCACTCAGCTTCCACAGTTCTTAACCAGTCGTTTTCTAGAATCTCTCCCATCCCCCTTACCTGATCATTTTCAGTAAAATCCTGGATACTACATTTCATCCATAAATAGTCATCCATCAATACATATGTAAAATATGAGTTATTTTAAAAATAGCAAAAATAGCCCTGGCTGGTGTAGCTCAGTAAATTGAGTGTGGGCCTGTGAACCAAAGGATCGCGGTTCGATTCCCAGGCAGGGCACATGCCTGGGTTGCAGGCCAGTTCCCAGCAGGGGATGCAGGAGAGACAACCACACATTGATATTTCTCTCCCTCTCTCCTTCCCTTTCCCTCTAAAGATAAGTAAATAAAATCTTTAAAAAAAAATAGCGATTTTACATCTGAACTTAACAATAGATTCTTCAGCATTCAAATTTACAAAAAGTTATCTCATAAATGCTGCTCGCTTGTTTTTTTTTTAAGATTTCATTTATTCATCTTTAGAGAGGAATGGAAGGAGAAGGAGAGAAATAACAGTGTATGGTTGCCTCTCGTGAGTCCCGTGCTGGGAACTGGCCTGCAACTCAGGCATGTGCCCAGACTGGGAATCGAACTGCGATCATGTGGTTCGCAGGCCCGTGCTCAATCCACTGAGCTACACCAGCCAGGGCAATGCGGCTGTTTTATAGTTTGTTTGAATCAGGATCCAAACAAGGCCCACACATTTCACTCAGTTGTCTCTCTCAAATCTCTTAAGTCTCTTGTAATCTACAGGCTCCACTCTTTTTTCCTTTGCAATTTATTTGTTGAAGAAATGGAATCATTTGTCCTGTAGAGTTCAGCATGTGCTGGGTTCTTCTGACTGTGTCCCTGTCGTGCCATTTACCGTGCTCCTCTGCCCCTTGTTGTTTTCCTGTAAATGGGTTAGCTCTAGAGGATTCAGCTGATTCCGGCCAAATTCTTGTTCAAAGGCAGCTCATTTGTATGCTGGTTGGGCTGTCCTAGAAGGCTGGTTTCATGTGTGGGCAGGGGCAAAGTAGGAAACGAGCCCGTCTTGTACCTGTGGTCACCTGGATGACATCTGCCTCTGACTGTGTTTTTTAAGAACCTTCTTATTTAGGGTGGCACGCAACAGTGCCACACCACAAGTGTACCATGCAATGAGTGTTCACAAAGTGTACCTACTCGTGTGACTCTCACCCCGTCAGGAGATACAGCATTGTTGGTGTCCCCAAAGTGCCTTGCGACCCCATTCAGTCATTGCTCCCCAGAGGTGACCACTTTCTTGATTTCCATTGTCAGAGACTCCTTTTGCTTGTAACTGAACATTCTATAAATGGAGTTGTATATTATGTTCTCTTTTTAACTACCGTGTTGGTTATACTCATGTTTATAGCTTTCTGTAGCTAGCTTTATAGTACACACATAAATTACGTGGACATCAGAATCTCTTTACGCTAACAGCGTAGATTTACAGAACACACTTAAGGAATACTCCTGTGACGGAAAAACCACAATACAGATGAAGAAAGATCTGCATTAAAGAATTGTACACATGGTAGAGTTGAAGGTAGAATTTTCCCTCTTAATTTTTCAGTTTCTTCTGTAGGAAAGACATAAGTAGTATGCATTCTTTTGTGTCTCACTTCTTTCCTCAACTTTATGAGGATCATTCATATTGTTGCCTGTAGCATAGCTTGTCCTTTTTCATCGCTGAATAGTGTTCCATTACCTGACCATAGTACATATCTGCTCTATAGATGATGGACATTTGAGGTGCTTCTGGTTTGGGGTTATGCGCAGCAATGCCATGAACACTTCTGTGCACGTCAGGTGGTAAATACATGTGCACTTTCCAGTTGGTTATTTACCTAGGAGTATAATGGCTGGGTCATTGGACATGCATACATTCTGATTTTTTAAAATCCTTATCCAAGGATATTTTCACTGATTTGTGTGTGTGTCTGTGTGTGTGTGCATACGAGAGAGAAAGAGACATTAATCAGTTGCCTCCTGCATGTCTCAACTGAGGATCCACAACCCAGGTATGTACCCTGACTGGGAATCCAACCTGCACCCTTTTTGGTGTATGGGATGGCACTCCAACCAACTGAGCCACCCGGCCAGGACCATACATTCAGCTTTTCTGGATACTACCAGTGCACGACATGGCCATAACTGTGAATACCCCCAGCAGCTGGGGTATGGGAGCTCTAGTTGTCAGCCTTTGATGCCTTGACTGTTTGTTCTGTAGGTATAGAGTTTGGCAGCCCCAGTATTCCTCAGTGACCACATTGGTCCCTGGTTAATCATTCCTCTGACACTCAGCCCTCTTTGTAATTAATCCCCTCTAATAGGATGCAATGAGTTTATGTGCATTGTCTAGTTAAAAGTTAACTGATCATGTCCTACCTCTGCTCAGAGCCCTCCAGTGGTTTTTCTCATAGCAGGGTAAAAGTCAGAATCGGTATACTGTTGACATTTGGACTAGATAATTTTGTTGTTTGGGTCAGGGAAAGGACTGTGCTCTATATTATAAGATACCTAGCAGCATCCTTGGCATCTACCCACTAGATACCAGTAGTACTCCCTTCCCGCTACATATCTGCTCAATTCTTTTTTTTTTTTTAAGATTTTATTTATTTATATTTATAGGGGAAGGGAAGGATAGAGGGAGAGAAACATCAATGTATGGTTGCCTTTCATGCGTCCCCTGCTGGGTACTGGCCTGCAGGGAACCGGCCTGCAACCCTGGCATGTGCCCTGACTGGGAATCGAACCTCGATTGTCTGGTTCGCAGGCCCGCGCTCAATCCACTGAGCTACACCAGCCAGGGCCGGCTCAATTCCTTTTTTAATTTTCACTCATCAACTTTAGGGAGAGAGAAACATTAGTTTGTTGTTCCACTTAATTATGCATTCATTGGTTGATTCTTGTATAAGCCCTGATCAAGGATCGAACCTGCAACCTTCTTGTATTGGGACAGTGCTCTAACCAACTGAGCTACCCAGCCTGGGCTTCCCCCACTCTGCACAATTCTTACATGGACAGATGCCCCCTGTAGGAACAAATTGTCCCCCATTCTTCACCTGTTTTATCACTCTTCCCTCTCATTCATTCACTCCAGCTCTCTCAGCCTCTGTGGCTGACCCTGCACATACCAGTGCTTGGCTGTGCACGTAGCAGTGCACTTGATGGTCGCTGTTCCTGAAATGTTTTCTCACAGGTATTCCCATGCCATCTAAGGCTTCTATAAATATCTAAAATTCAGCTTGTACAATGTCAGCCTTCCCCACTGGAATAACATCCACAAAGGCAAGACTTTCACTTGTTTTGTTCACTACTTTGTCTTCACCAAGACAGTAGCTGGCATGTAGTAGGTGTTCGATAAACAGCTATTGACTGAGTAATGATGTATTTTGTGTACTCCTATCAGTAACATTGAATGAGTAGGCCAAAGGTGTAGGTTTTTAAAATAACTTATCTCTAACAACCTTTGAATTCTGAAAGTCCCTTTCATCTAATGTTCACTATAAAGTGGCAGCCAAGTAGGGCAGAGAAGAAAAAGGATTCAGAGTCAGCCAGGCACAGACTTAAATTTTAGTTCAGTCACTCACCTTCTGAGTGACCCTGGGAAAACCATGTCCTTTCTCTGAGCCTTAGTTTCCTCATCTGTAAAATAAAGCTGACACTCATCTGGCTTTCAGAGTTGCTCTAAGACTAAAGGAGCACTGTGACTGGTACATCTCTAAGGACTCAAAAGTCGATGCCATTTCATTATTCAGACTGTGTCCCTAACTCATTACAGTTCACACAGAGATTCAGCTGTTTCTTATTACTTGAGAGTTTGAAATCACAGGAAGTTTAAGGAGGATAATGATTTCATGTTTTGCTTAATATTTCTTGGGGGGGAGAAACAATCAGAAAATCCTGTCTTTTTCAAGGGCCTTTGTTTCCTTTTCAGCATTTTGTTCCTAAAGGGAAGGATTCTTTCTGTGTTTGTGTTGTTGATTTGAATCACAAATGCCAGTCTGGCTTGGGGGTTGGTGCTGTTTTTTTCCTTCCCTCCAGGTGGCAGTGGCTGTGTGATGCTGAGATTCAGGCAGGTATCTGAGTGTATGGCATGAATCTGCTGTTCAGTGAGCCCACTTTGGGACCACCTGCCTCTGTGTATTTCAGAATCCTCACTTGAAAAAGAGAGGGAAACGCCCAGTCCCATCGACCCCAACTGTGTGGAGGTGGATGTGAACTTCAATCCCGACCCTGCAGACCTGGTCCTCTCCAGTGTGCCAGGCGGGGAGCTCTTCAACCCTCGGAAGCACAAATTCGCAGAGGAGGACCTGAAGCCGCAGCCCATGATCAAAAAGGCCAAGAAGGTCTTTGTCCCCGATGAGCAGAAGGTAATGTTATGTCCGTGTAAGTGACGGTGCAGCACTGGTTCGAGAGCTGGGGGCTGTGCTGCTTCACATTTGGTTTTACCTGGAGGGTCCTCCCCCTCTATAGATACTGTTTAGAAAGGCATGAGTTCAGAGCATAGGCCCATGCCCTGCACCAGCTGGTAGGAAGAAAGGGAATCAGGTGGCGTTTGGCCCCCGCCTGACTCCCTGTGGTTTCTGTTTCCTTATTGGCCAGCGGCTGTGTGGATGTTCTTGCTTCCCTGGCTTTAGCCCAGCTATGGGGCAAGCGCTCACTAGGTCACAGGAACTGAGCTGAACGAGTCTTCACTTTGAAGGGCAAAAGATAGTTTTATGTTGCAAACAGCATTGAGGCTGATGGTTTTATAGGAGTTGGGTTTGGGAGGGAGAGGAAGATTTGCAGTTTTTCCATCCTCATCTGTGGAAAACTCACAGGAAGGACTTTTCATACAAGCTTTGGAGTTAGGCAGAGCTCGGTCCAGGCCCCACTTTGCCACCTAGAACTAGCTGGGCCTCAGGTTCCTCATTTGTAAAATGGGAATAACTAACTGTACCTGCCTATCAGGAGGTTTCTGAGGCTTTCATAATGCAAAGAACATGGTAAACTTTTATGCGGTCCTTACTGTAATAAGCACCTGTACATACCACTTCATTTACTCCTCAAACAACTTGTTGAGGTAGTTACTGCTATCCTTCATTGTAAAGATGAGGGACCTGAGACATTGAGAAGTTAAGGAAGTCGCACTGTTCCTCTGCTAGTAAGGGGCTGGGGCAAGATTTGAACTCAGGGGACTGGACCTCAGCCATAACCAATGCGACAGTGCTTTCTTTATGTTGGAGCATCACAGAGCAGGCTCCCAGTACATGGAGTCCCCCTCACTCTACCACTTCGTACAAAGGGCTTTGTTTCTCATCCTGGCAAAAGAGCAGGGCCCCCTGCTGTCCTTGGCACATGCATCTCCTTCCCTGGGTCCCAGCTTTCATTCCTTCTGCACCGAATGAGTGATTAAAGGAGTCCTGGGTGTAGAGTGCTGGAAGGAGGAGAAAGGTTGGGTTTCCTTGTTGGGGAAGAGGAAAGACCAACAGAGGACACTTCCCCACAGGATGAAAAGTACTGGACGAGACGCAAAAAGAACAATGTGGCAGCCAAACGGTCCCGGGACGCCCGGCGCCTAAAGGAAAACCAGATCACCATCCGGGCGGCCTTCCTGGAGAAGGAAAACATGGCTCTGCGGACGGAGGTGGCTGAGCTACGCAAGGAGGTGGGCAAGTGCAAGACCATCGTGTCCAAGTATGAGACCAAGTACGGGCCCTTGTAACAACCCGTGCCCTCACCCTGGCTGCCCTGCCTACATCTCAGCCCTCTGCCTGGGGGCTCCCTGAAACCCCACACGTGTGTGGAGACTTATGACTCGTCACGGGCAAATGGCGACGCACCTGCTCCAGGAGCTGTCATGTTCAAGCTTCATTATCCCATGGCCAGCGCACGTGGCGACTTCCCTGGGGAACCAGCCTGCTCACTGGCAGGGACGCGAGAATCGACGTAGACGGGTGCATCTGCCTTAGTTTCTGTTCTTGGATGTCCCAGTTGAATTGGAAGGGGACCTCTGGAGTACAGATCTCCTTTCCCAGGGCACTCAGGCTGCCCTGCTCTCCCTCAGTCTCTACCCCGGGCTGTGGAGGCCTGTCTCTGCAGAATGAGTCCATGGTTGTCGCCGTACATCTCAGGTAGCAGGGTGTGTTCCTAGGCAGGCTGTGTCGGCGGGCCACCTCTCCTTACCCAGAACGTCTGAGAGAAACATCCGTTTCCTTCTCCCTCAGAGGCAGAAGACACACTGGCTCCTCCGTCATGTCTGCGTGGCTGCCAGGCCACCTGAGTGGGGCTCCGCCAGCCTGGGCAGAGTTGGGGTCTGGGGCCTGCAGTAAAAGTGCACCGAACCATTCACAGCTACCACACCCCTTTACTCTCGTGACTCGGGGGGCCTGGAAGCCAGGGAGGAGGCGCTGGCAGCCGGCTCTCTCTGCATTTCGTCTGTTGTGAAGGGGAGGTCCCCAGGCCGGCCAGTCTCTGAGTCTGGTCACAGTGCAGAGAGCTGCGCTGACATCTCCTCTTCTCCAGGTCACTTGTGGAGGCCACCTGAATCTCACTCGTCCCACTAGACTGTTTCTTTCCACCCAGTGACCAATCTCAGATTTTGAATTTAAAAGGAAAACCCCCTTGTTTAGGAAGCTTACCTTCCTTAGAGGCAGGAGACTTCTGCACGGTGGTCGGGAAACCGGTCCCCACTGTGGATGGGGAGCTGGGGTGTGTGTCTCCGTGTCATCTTGCTCTGCTCCGGTGTGGGCCGGGCCAGAGGAAGGCAGGAGAGGGCTTCCCAGTTCTTGCCTCAGGATCCCTCCCCTGTGCAAGCTGCCAAGAGGGGACCCGCCGGGCAGGACACCCGGCCAGGGGTCACCAGGGTCGCAGTGCAACTCATGGAACAGCAGGTTCTCTGGACATACACATGCGGGTCTCCTCCGTCTGGTCCCGAGATACAGGCAGTCTCACAAACGTGGCTGTGGTATGTGGAGGGTCCTTGCAGCTGTGGCTTCGCTACCTCACAGCTGCTCTTTCTTGTGTCCAGCTGGACTTGTCTTTTTGCTCTGCCTGGGAGATTCATCGAAGAAATCCATGGAACCCTCTGCTCGTTGTGGTCAGCTGGGGCATCTGAAGATGGGTATATTTATTGGCTCAGGGCCAGGCAGCCTGTGGTTAACGGGTTGGAGGTGACGGGCACACTTTGTCATGCTTACCACTGACTTTATTTTTAAGTGGTAGCTCCAAGACCCGACTCTGACCCCCAAAGACTTTATAACATAATAAGACCCGGGGAAGCCATCCACTGACCGTGGACCGCACCCCAGAGGAATGCCACGGCCCCCGGGGACCCGCACACCCGCCTCTCCAGGGGACTCGACAAGGGTGCCTGAGGCCAAGGGGGGTCACCACCTCCCTCCAGGCCCCTGACTTTTACTTCGTGGTTCTATAAAACCCACGTTCACACTTTTCACTCTATTGTAACCACAACAGGGCAGTTGCATCCGGCATGTCAGTGTCCTGCCCTGGGCCGCTCGCCCGCCGCCCAGGCGTTCTCCCTCTGGCCGGGCTGCCCACCAAGAGGGCAGTTCTCATTTTGTTGTTGGTAGAAGAGCCTCCAGCTTAAAAGCTCTTCGTTTTCTTTGGCCAGAAAGTGTATGGCTTGTGGGTTTTGTTTCATTTTTTTTTTAAAGGATGAAGACTTAATTTCTGGGTGGCATCCATGTTCTGACTCCTGTGGGTGGGACGGTGGCCTGAAGTCTCCCCTTTCTGTCCCACCCTCTGCACCTTCTGCCTGTTCAGTGCCCTCCCCTTCCTTCCCCCAGGCAGTGGGTTTCTGGTTCTTTCCCAAAGTGCTTATGTGGAAAGAGTGTGGCTTCTGGCCTCTTTTAGAAAAGCCCCTTTGAGTTGGGAGCCTAGCAGACACAGGAAGGAAATGTCCATGGGGGTGACGTGTTGGGGAACAGGAGCCCAGGGAAATGTACCTCCTTCCCAGGCCCAAGAATGGAGTCCTTGCAGGAGGCGGTTGGTGCCTGTGATTTCCATCAAGGAGACTCCCTCCTGGCCCCTCTCCATCTTGGGGCTGGCAGCCAAAGACTGAGACTCCTCTGCTCAAATCTTTGACATCTCCTTAAAAAGCACTGGAGGCCAGAGAAGCCAATGTCAAGTGGCTTTACACGGGTTTGCGATGGGCTGGGAGGCGCCATCCCTTCCTAAGCGCCCTGTCTTCAGTTTAATGGCAGCTTTGCTACAGCCTCCGAACAGACAAATTGTGAATGAGCTAGAATGTTGCAAGAATATACATATAGTAAATGTGTATCTAGCTATTGATAGGTACTTAGAGCATTCACAATGGCCAGTAGCCTTGCGGAGGGCCTGGGTAACTCTTACCCTTGGCCAAAGGAAGGGGGTTGCCTGTCTGGGGCTGAGGTTGGAGAAGGCACTTAGCGATGTTACCCTGCTGTGGCCCTGGGTGGGCAGCCCCTGCGGCCCTCCAGCCTGAATCAGGGTGGCAGGTGTGGGAGCCAGCAGAGGAGGGCCCCTTTGTGCTGGGCAGCTCCAGGGCCCTGGAGCCCTGGTTTTCATGGCAAAGCCCCACCCCAGAGCTCCTTTAACATCTGTTAATTAAGTGCAATAAATTTTTCTAGAAAATGGTAAAGATGATTTCCAGGTGGATATTGCTATCTTAGGGTGTTGGGGATGCCAGAACACCACTTGGTTTTATTTTTCTAGGTGCATGTGATGTGACAGAGTGTGTGGGGGCTTCCCTGTCTTCCCCTGGGAGCTGGCATTCCAGTGAGCCCCTCTTTCTCACCTTTGCGGGGGAAGGAGGCAAGGAGAAAACTCCTTCCCAGCTGGAGAGGGCAGAAGCAGACTGTAGCCCATTGGCCTTATGTGCGTGTGTGCGTGCGAGTGTGTCGCTGCTGGTGGGCCGGAGTGATATGATGGGGAGGGAAGCTGGGAATGTAACCTTTTCAAAATGAAATTAAATATTTTGAGACGAGAGTTGTGGGGCTGTCTTTGCTGTCCTCTTCTCTCCCCTGTCTCTCCCGGGTCTTCTCTGTCCGTGTTGGCCTAGGAGCCTGAGAGTTGTCCCTGGCACCTCTGTATCACTAGCCAGGTACCCTTGACTAAGTAACCTGACCGCTCTGTGCCTCAGTTTCCTCATCTGTCAGCTGGAAGTTATTCCTGCCTGCTCTCCTCACAGCTCTTGGTAGTGTTTACCAAGGAAAAACACTACCAGGCAGACCAAAGGCAGTTTGAAAGTGCAACAGGAAGACAGGAAACTGTTCTTGGAGAGTGTTCCCAATGGGGAACCCTTGCTAGCAACTACATTAAAAAAAGACTGGAAGGGTTGGGTGGGATTCTGGGGCTTTTCTTGTTCTCCCTTTGCCAGATTTCTCTCTGGCCCTGGGAGCTTCACAATTAAAAAACAAGGTGTAGTATAAGCTACACCTGCTTATGCATAGGCCACGTGCAGGGCACCTGCACTCATTCCTGATTTAGCATTGGCATCCCCAGGGCCCCTGCTCAGGGCTGGCCCGGGCCCCCCATTGGCTTTCAGCCCGGGGTGGCGTGGGATAGGGTGCATCACCCTTGGCAGTGCCCCTGTAAATCCTCCTCCACCTCCACCCTCTCTTCATCCTTGTTCTGCTGCCTCGGTGGAGCCCAGGTGCCTGCTTGAGCACCTACTACATCCCTGTGTACACAATGGGACAGCAGCCTCACAGTTCTTAGCACACGGCAGCTGCTGCTGTGGCGATGATCTAGGGCTGCTGACCTACGTGGCAAGGAGCCCTCTGGCCTAGCAGCTGTGGGCCCACTGGATGGCTTGGGGTGCAGCCAGGGTCAGACTAGCTGTGTGGCTTTGGGCAAGTTACTCCCTCTCCCTGAGCTCTTTCTCTCTACAGTGTGAATGCGCTACTCAGATAATAGGTGAGTGCCTGAAACAATTCAGCTCTCTACCCCACCTCCCAGCTCCCTGAAGGACACATTTTCCAAAGCTCGACACAGGCCCCCTTCCTTGAGTGTTCCCATCAACCAGACAGCTCTCAGCCACCTCCTGCGGCTGTGCCAGGCTGCCCAGCTGGCAGCTCCTGACGTCAGCAGCTAATCTAGGAAGGCTGCCAGCCAGAGAGGGGTGAGCAGCAAAGGAAATCAGGTTTTGGGGTGGTTACCCTCAGGCAACCCCTCCTGTGCTCTCATCAGCTTCTCACCAGCGAACCCTCCCAACCATGCAGAATGACACCTGGACACGTGGAGCGGGTTATTGTGAGCTGTGTCTCTGTTGGGAGGAGCCGGGCTGCACGGGGTGCCCAGCTCAGCCTCCGCCCACTCTGAGGCTGCCTGTATGTCTCCAAGCTAGGTGAGGCATCCACTGGCGCCTGGGTTCCAGGCTGACTCCGAGTCCAGACTGGGGCTGTGGGGAAAGCAGAAGAAGAAGGGACATCAGCCGGTCCTCTCAGCCTGGGCTGGGTGCACTGCTTCCCACTGCTCCTCCGCTGTCCAGCCCCACAGCACCTGAGGATAGGTACTCCCATTTTACAGAGGAAATTAAGGCTCAGTAAGGTCTTAGGTGACTTGCCCAAGGTCTCACAGCTGCTAAGTGTCAGAGCTGAGACTCAAACCCAGCCCTGGTGGCCCCTAAGCCTAAGCCCCTTCTGCCATCTGAGTGATAAGGTGCTGGTGCTGCCTAGGCCTGTCCTGCTGGAAGGACACCCCACTCTCCACTTTCCTGGGGCCAGCAGAGGTCAGCCAGCCGAGCAGCCAGACCACTGCCTGGTCTGACATTTTCCATGGCTCCCCAACCTACTATAGCCAGCAGCAACAAGACCCAGGCCCAGCAATTGGTAGGTAAGAAAAGACTGACATTTGTCCCACCTGTTGGGCCAGGACCTCCGCGGTAACTGCAGTTGACAAGTGTGGAAACAGGTTCAAAAGGGAAGTATCTACCCCAAGGCCACACTGCTGCTCCACTCCACCCTCCTTCCAAGGACCCTCCCCTCACCTGTGGACCCGTCTCCCTCCCTCCCTCATGGCATCTCCTCTCTTCTTGGGTGCCAGGGTCAGAGGCTTTGTTCAACAAAGACATTAGAAGTTATCACATCCATGTCTTCCCTGAATGGATGGGAAAGAGACCCGGAGAGGAAAAGGAGCTACCCAAGCTCATGCAGCAAAGTAAGACTTGGGCTAAGGGAGCCTGCGCCTCCACACGTCCCGTCTCCCTCAAATCACACTGAAATTGGCTGGCTCTTCACTCAGGGACAGCACAGGTGGCTCCCAGGCCTCCTGGACCATGAGTGGGTCACGGAAACCTGGGCTCACGTGGAAGCAGAAATCAGGCCTCATTTCCAACTTGCTGTGTGACTTTCTACAAGCCACATCCCTGACTGGGCCCTTATTATTCATCAGCGCCATGGAGATCAGGATCCCTGTCCTGCCCAAGCATTGCTGTGAAGTTCAAGGGATATGCTGAATAGAAGTCCCATGTAAATTGCAAGGGCTGAGACATGGGACAATGTCCCAGCCCAGCACATCTGGGATCCAAAATGTGATGAAAGGTGCCCCGCCCCACCTTCTCCCCACACCACACATAAACCACCTTCCCCGAAGACTTGCCAATGCCCGAGATTCTATCAGAAAAGCTGGCTGGAGGCTAAAGTGAGGGAAGTAGAGGCAAGAGATAGGGCTGGAAGTCAGCAGGAGTGGCCACTCAGGGCTGAAGATCATGACTTTTCCTGGGTCTGTGTCCAGGACCGCTTTGGGCTGGGCATGCCCCTGACCCCAGAACTCCATCTGAGAAGCTGCTGGACTTTGTTCAAATCACCCTGAAATCTAATCCCAAAGCCTCGCTGAGGCCCCTGGTTGAGCCTCGGGGATGTGACCCAAGCAAGGGGAGGTGCCCAAAGCTGGGGAGTCCCGATCCAGGAGCCAGTGCCCAGCCCACCAAGGACTCACTGCGATGCTCCTTGCTCTGGGCATCAGTTCCCTGTCTGTCCTCCTCACAGCAGCCTTTAAACCATCCATCATGTCTTGTGGCTCCCCTCACACTCGGGAAAAAAATCCAAACTCCTCACTGCAGCCTAAAAGGCCCTGGGAGCCCGGGCCGCTGACCTGGTTCTCTTCCCCTCCCTTTCCGCCCCGGCACCCAGGTCTAGCCTTGTTGACCACTTGTGTCATGCCCCACTCCCTGTCGCCGAGTCGTCACTCTTGCTGTTCCGTCTGCCTAGGCCGATTCCCCCAGATCTTCTCAGCCCAGTCCCATTCTCAGTGACCGGCCAGCCCAATGGTTGGCAAGTGGTAACTGTCCACTAAACACACCTGGTGAACTCACGGGCCTAGATGGCAGAGCACGCCGGGTGTGGCAGCAGTGCCATATCACCACCAGGTGGTGCTGCAGACACCTCCCTGAGAGGTGACCTCGGGTCCAGCCTCCAGATTTGTCCTCTCGGCAAAGCCCCAGGGCTGTGCCAGACCGTGCTGTGGGGCACCAGCTGATTCACCCCCACCCTGCCTGTTCCCCAGTGGCTACGGGAACACATGGGTCCGGGGTATCCAGAGGCCTGGCAGGAAGGGAAGGCTGGCTGCCTCCCATGGCCTGTACTTCTAGGCTCTTTCTGGGGAGGAAGTAGGTGTGTGGACCTGAGGAGGTGCTGTGGGGGGAACTGGGGTCAGGGACTCTGGAGAGGCTTTGGATTTAGGAGTCTGCGCACTGAGCCTGGGTTGGCCTCCCACCTCCTCCTGTCCTCCTCACACCTTTGACAAGCCTGGTCCTGGCTTTTAGCCTCCATTTCCTCATCTGTCAGCAGAGAGACAAAAATGTTAACAAGAACTGAAACCCTGTGTGACTGCTCTGTTGGAATGAGAATGAGGGGCCTTGGAGGGGGCTCCCCAGCAGTGTGAGTGGTGTGTGCAGGTGGGCAGTGGGTGCATTTGGGGAAAAGGCAGATGGACAAGAAATCGGCAGTCCCCAGGGCCTCGCTTCCTGCTCCGTCAAACTGACTTCCCTAGGCCTCCCCTGTCCTGAGGCCTGTGACCTGAAGTGTATGTCTGAGTGTCCCTGGGTGTATATATGTGTGTCTGTGTTTGAATAAGAGTGTGTCTGTGCGCATGTGTCTGTCTGTGTCCACACCTGGGCGTCCATGGGTGAGGACAAGCTGCAGAGGGGGACTGGGGATTCCAGGACAGAGGGGCCCGTAGGGTACTGGCTTCTGTTTTGGCTGCCCAGCACCTGGTAGCTGGACCTGGATGTCTCTCTTCATCTCCCTCCCCCCTGCACCGCCCCCTGCACCGCCCCGCGCTTCCCTATTTGCATCCATTTGCTCTCAGACCCCATGGGCTCTCCCTCATTCTCACTCCTGCCAGCCCAGTCTTGGAGGCCCTGGACTTCCCAAGGGTCAGGGGGCCAGGGACTAACTTGGTGGGGTCCAGTCTCCAGCATCCTCACTTCTGCCCATGGAGAGTCAGCCTGGCTCTAACCCTTCTCAAGAGATATAATTAGTCAACACTTACTGTGTGCCAGAAGTTTTACACGCCTGTTCATTATGTCTTCACAACAGCCCTTTAAGGCATCTTCACACTCATTTTGCAGAGGAGAAAACAGGTTCAGAGAGATGGAGCGCAGAGACCACACAGGAAGTGGGGTTGGAGCCAGCTCTGGCGAGGGGCCCGGGCTCCCTCTTTCCTGACTCCTACCCTCCTGGTAACACGCCATCTGTCCAGCCACCTGGCTCCCGGTCTTTTGGCTCAAGTGACCCCCTGGGGAGATGAGGGTGGTAGAGGTGGCAGCAGCAGAAGCAAGGTTCTGCTGAAGTTTGGGGGTTCCAGAGCCAATTCAGCCTCTCCCCACAGCCACCCCAGGCTGCTGGGAGGTCCTCCCTGCAATTCTTCCTCCCGGAACAACTGAGCCAGCTACCCCCCTAACCCACAGTGGCCCTGCCCAGACACTGCCCAAAGTGGCCACCCTTCCAGGCCCAGCTTCAAGGCCACTTCTTCCCAAAGGTCCTCCCGGATGCCCCATCAGATGTGGCCTTTCCCTCAGCATTGCCCCTTGTCTCTCTGGACTTCTAAGCCACCTGGGGGCAGAGGCCATGTCCACCTTCCAGTGCCCAGGGCAGAGTTATCAGGGAAAAGATCCAATGACTGCTGGTTCAGGGATAATACTAGTGGTGATAAAATGTACTATCAGCTAAGTGCCAAGTGTCCAGCCATTAAGTGCTTCGCAGACAGTTTTTCAAGCAGTCTTCCCCACCACTCTCCATGTGAAATGCTTCCTATTATCATCCTCATTTTACAGGCAAGGAAACAGGCAGAGTGAGGTGAAGTGATTTACCTAAGATCACACAGCCAAGAGATGCCACAAGAAGGTTTCAAACTGAGTTTATCTGGGTCCAGAGTCTGTATTGCACTGAAGTGAACTGTCAAGAAATGGAGATTCTGCCCTGGCTGGTGTGGCTCAGTGAACTAAGTGCCGGCCTGTGAACCAAATAGTCGCAGGTTCGATTCCCAGTCAGGGCTCATGCTTACTGGGTTGCAGCCCAGGTCCCCAGTAGGGGGCACTCAAGAGGCAACCGTACATTGCTGTTTCTCTCCTTGTCTCCCCTCCCTTCTCCTCTCTAAAAATAAAGAAATGGAGATTCTAAGGGGGTGTCCTCACTGAGTGCCGTGGCCTACAGGGGGTGTCTTGGATCAACAGTTCTAGGCTGGGCTGGACTGGGCACCGCAGGTCCATCTCACCTCTCACAGAGCTGGAGGCCGGAGCACCCTGGATTCCAGCCGCCACACAAGTCATGCTTCCTCTTCAAGCCTTCATTTCTCCATTTGCTGAGAGAGGGTTCTGGCCCTAGCCCAGCCTCATGGGGCAGTTTCGAGGACGGAGGAGTCAAGGCTGCCATTTTCAAGTAGATTTTTCCAGAAGAATCTTATTTTCAGCCTAGAAGGCCAACATAGGAAACTGATAAAAGACATGTTTCATCAGCATAAATTTCCAAGCTCAGGGTGCTGACAGGTTCTTAGCCTAAAGTCACTTGAGAGGGTGTATGACAACTGTGATGGAAACATGCCCTGCCCAGGGTGTGGGTGAGGGCCGGGTGCCGCTGGAAGCTACTCCAGCACCCAGTCTTTTCTGCAGATTACCCGAGCTGGATGGCATCAAAAAACCTTCAGGCCCACAGGCAAAAAGCTGTTTTTAAAAATGAATCAAATCAAGTTTTGGTGACAGCTCAGCCAGGCATTCTAGGTGCCCACAGCACCCATCTGATGACCCGAGCCCCAGCTCCGGGGCCTTGGGCACCCTCTGGGCTTCAGGAGGCACAGGAGGCTGGAGTCCACCTCCAGGGGCCCATCTGTTTACCTCAGCAGGTCTGGGCAGGAGATGCTTGGCCAATGGCCTGGCTCCTCACGGCCCCTCCGAAGCCTGGTTCTTGTGACTTAGGCAACAGAGGATGTATGGAGAGAACCTTCTGTTGGCGCTCATCTGAGATATGGGAAACAGGGTAAACAGAATGAAGTGGGGGGTGAGGGGAGGGGGCAGGGAGCTGACCATGCCCCAAGAGTTTAAAAATAAATCCTGCCTGAGGGCTGTCAGCCACAGCCAGCCACAGCTCCCAGGGCCTGGTGACATCATAGAGCACAGGATGTCCCTGGCAGGTGCTGGGGGTGGCAGAGGGGACATGGCAAAGGGGAGGGTGGAGAGGTCCCATCTGCTCTTTCTGCACCTGGGAGCTATTTGTGTTTGGGGACAGCCAGCCTGGGCTGTCCTGGGTCAGAGGGGCTGCCCAGTCCCCTCCTCCCCCAGCATGTTCCATTTTGCATCTGAGAAAACTGAGGGCCACTTGCTCTGAGGAACGTGGCAGCTCCACAACTCAGAGCCATTTCTGCCTCTCACGCGTTGACTCTTTTTTTAAAATTATATTTAGACAGCTTTGTTGACCATTTTCTAGCTCATACCGTACCTGTGTATGAACCGTCAGTAGCAGTCTGCAAATAATTGTTATTAATTCATTTTGGAGAATTGGGGGTGGATGAAGTTACTCTGCCAAGCAGACCTCAGAGATTCCAATATTCATTGTCTTTGCGGGGGTGTCCAAGCCACACGTGGCCCAGGATGGTATGAATGTGGCCTGACGCAAAATCTCAAATTGACTTAAAATCTTTCTTTTTGCTCATCAGTTTTTTTTTTTAAAGATTTTCATTTATTTATTTTCAGAGAGGGGAAGGGAGGGAGAAAGAGAGAGAAACGTCAATGTGTGTTTGCCTCTCATGTGGCCCCCACTGGGGACCCGGCTTGCAACCCAGGCATGTGCCCTGACTGGGAATCTAACCTGCGACCCTTTGGTTCACAGCCTGTGCTCTATCCACTGAGCTACACCAGCCAGGGCTGCTCATCAGTTTTCGTTAGTGTATGTGTGTTTAATGTGTAGCCCAAGACAACTCTTTTTCTTCCAGTATGGCCCAGAGACACCAAAAGGTTGGACACCCCTTCTAGATAAAGCTTTCAAGGAGAGTGTAAGTTTTTTCCATCGGTGTTACAATGCCAGCATAGGCTGTGGGTGACAAGGAAACAACGGTTTTATGAAAACTATTTCAAATGTTCCTTAGTTGCTGGACCAAACAACTGAAATAAAGGAAGACAATATTGTTTGCTCAGCTGATAATGACCGTGGAGACCCACCAGTGCATCATAAAAATTTATTTTCCAAGAACTGAGTGAAAGAAAAGTACCACCAGCTGCTGATTGGCATGAGTGATTAAATTTTGGCCATGAGAGAACCAAAGCTGTCACATGAAGCCACTTCCTTACATATTAATTCCCAGCCTGAACTTGCAGAACTGGACCTGAGAATAAGCAAGTGGGTGTTGGACTTTAATTCCGAATTTTGGTCCTGTTCCTGGTGAGCATAGGGTGGGAACCATTTGGGGAGGAGGCTCGTCTGGATAGAGGATGGGGAGGGGGGGAGGCATCAAATGAGCAATGGCTAGCACTGTGCTCGACATTGGTCATGACAAACAAGCTCCTCCTGCCCATCCATCACTTCTGCTCCTCACTCTGACCCCAACCAAGGAGGACAGGCAGGAGCTAATGCTGTCCCCATTTTATAGATGAGGAAACTGAGACCTAGGGAGACAAAATCACCTACTCTGGGCTGCACAGCCAGCACCTCATGCCCACCTGGGATGGGGTCAAGTCCCCACTGGCAGACCCCAGTGTGAGCTGCTGATAGACACCTAAGGTGGAGCCAAGGTGGGTGTAGGCAGGTGGGGAAAGGGAAGGAGTCCCTGCTGCCTCTGCTGTTGGGGTGCCCCTGTTCATTAGGCCTCCCTCCCATCCCTCCTCTTTCTCACCTCTCCTCCACTGGGCTCTGGCCTCCCTACCATCCCTCCCCCTCCTCCTCCTCCTCCTCCTCCTCCTCCTCCTCCTCCTCCTCCTCCAAGGGCTAGGTACCTCGCTGCATTCAGGACAAAGTCCAGCCTCCTGTCCTGGCCAAGGCTTTTCCTGCACATCCAGCCTCATCTCTCATCACATATGTGCCACACTCTAAGCCTCAGCCTCACCAAACTGCTCACAGATCCCTGCAGCAACTGCTATTTCAGGCCTCTGAGTAGTTGAACAAGCTGTTCCGCTGGTTGGAATGCCCCTCCTGTATCCTCCTGGGGAACCCCTAATCATCCTCATAATCCAGCTAGGAGCCACTGTGGCTCCTCAGACCACCATCATGCTTCTGAATGCAGCAGCTGTCTGCTGCCCAGCTCTCTTCCTGGACCCATATCTTTGCGGGGGCAACAAGAACCATATTGTACTCTTCTCTCCGTGCCCAGTGTCTAGCTAGTGGATGAAGGAATGAAATTGGGCCTGATCCTGCTCCCTTCTCACCAGGGGTTTTGGACAATCACATACCCTCCGTGAGCCTTGTGAGGTGGGGACAAGGCCCACTGTGCAGGGTTGCTGCCGACTGGGGGGGATCTACCATATCCCTGAGTAGGCATGAACCGGCTTTGCCACAGGAGTGTTGCTCTGGCCAAGTCCCCTGTCAACCCTCCTTTCAAACCCTCACTTGCTCAGTCCAAACCTCTAAGCTCCTCTGCCCTGCATTTCCATCCCACCCCATCAAATCAAAGCAGCAGCAGTCCTAACCTCCCTCCTTCAAAGGCACCCACAAGCTTCCAAACCTTAAAAAGCCCAGTTTAGAGAGCCTATTTCAAGTGAGGAGTCCAGGCTTCATCCTCGGGAGACCCACGTAGAGGGAGCCTTGTGTGAGACCCTAGAGTCAGCATTGTTAAGCAGCCTCCCGGTAACCACAATTCTGCTTTGGGTACCTCCTGGAGCGGGGACAACATACAAGCCCCAAATAATGCCCAGACCAGGAAGGGGGGAGGGAGGGAGAGCTCGTGCAGTCACAATGGGACTGGGGGCTGGGCATGACCTCAGTTGGTAGCTGTCTGCATCCTTCCTCCTTTCCCAACACTAAGGTTAGCCAGGCCTATGTAAGGGGCTTACTCGGCCTCGGTCCTCGGGCCAAAGGCAGGCCCCACAGCCCCAGAATCTGCTGCACAAGGTGCGTGAACAGGCCTCAGGGCTGTCTGCTGGGAGGCAGACTTGGATATAAATAACCACGAAGCCAGGCCGCGTGAAGTAAGTGCGAGCTGAGAGGCAGGAACCGCTGCTGGGGAGCGGGATCTGCAAAGGCGCTTCGGTGGGAAGGGGGGCGCGGGCCCGGAGCTCCCTCGGGTCTCCAGTGACCTTCGATGAGGAGTCCGGGGCTCCGGGCCTGGAGGCCAGGCAGCAGGCTGAGCTGCTTCCACCTGGACCCAGGGCGGGAGGTGTAACAACGCCGGGCAAAGCGGCTTAGGAGCGCCGGCCTGGGAGTCGGAGAGGCGCTGGAAACTGCGAGGCCACCCTCCCGGTGACGGCCGCGCCCCCCCGAGCCCCACCTTCCCCGCGAGTCCGCCCCCCTTTCCAGTTCCCGCCGGCGCCGCGCGCAGAGGGGGCAGTCCTGAGTCCCGGCAACCGGAACAGCCGTCTCGACCTAGGAAGCGACCCCATTGGCTCCCTCGGCCTCCAGCGCTGAAGCCCCGCCCCTAGCCGGCCCTTACGTAACTCTTCCCCCGCCCTCTCGCGCCCCAGCTGCTGTGGGGGTTGGGGAAAGGAGAGGCCTTCTCCTCCTTCTGTGCAACCTTCCCAGGCCCGACTCCCTACCTCTGCTTAGCGCCTGAGGGAAAACAGGCCGCTTTCCAGCGAGGGGGCGGCTGCGGGAATGGGGGTTACTCCCTCGATAGGATCCTTGGGTCTACAGGGCAATGCAGACTGCAGTGGGAGCCCCAGCTCTGCCTGAGGCTATGGCTTCCTTTTCTGAACCAAGGTTCCCTCCCTGGCTCCCACTTGGCTGTTTTCCTTTTGGGAAAGCCTACACAGCTGCGCCTCCCTCCCCATTGTGCCTGGCCACTAAGTTTCCTGAATTCTAAAGTCAAGCATTGAAGCTCAGTGGTGACTGATTCTTCCAGGTACTCTCTGGGTGACCTTGGGTAAACTTGGCCTCTCTTAGCCTCACTGTCCCCACCTATTAAATGGGGCTAAGATGGGTACTCTTTTTAGTGTAGGGAAAAACCAGGCGTGTCAGCACTTGCTGAATACTTAGCAAAGAAGCTGAAGTGTCCTAACCCTCCCTTTACCATCCCAGGACCTGGAACAGTACAGGATTTGGGCCTGGGTCGGCTAGCAGGTGGTGCCCCTTCAGGCCGGTCAGCTCCCTGGGGGCCTCGGCCTTTGCTCAGGGAGTACATGGTGCCGTCCTGCCCTGTGGCCTAGTGGGTCCAGCTGGTCCTGCAGGTCGATGTAGCACAGGGGGACCTGCCCAGCTGCCCTCTGCACAAAGTCCCTAGGAGCACCTAGGGGGTCCCCTGCAGTACCACCCATGGTCTCACTCCCTGAGGTAGCCCACCCAACACCAGTTTTGAGCAGCTCCTAGGAGCAGATAGGGAGAGGGAAGCATCTGCTCGGGCCTTCTCTGCTCTGCTGAAAAACCAAGGGAGCCCCAGTCTCTGCATCTGCAAAATGGGAATAATTCCACCTCTCTCCCTCCCCTCTGCCAGGAAGAAGTCAATGCTGCTATCCCTGCTCCTACTTATCCCACTGATGGAGCCTGAACTGGGAGCCTCTGCTGGCTTTATGCTGAGTTTACCTTCACACATCAATCCCAGGTGATAAGTGTCCTTTTATAGTTGAG